AACCCAACCCAACCCAACCCACCCCGTCCCTCCTCTTTCTTAGACAAATTACAGAGTGAAATTCCTCTACAGGAAATAATCCGTTTATTCAGGTTTTAATTTGGCTTTCTATCATTTTCGTTATAATTTCAATTCAATTCAATAATTTTATTGCTCATTTATAGTTACAGAGTAACTTGTACACAGAAACTGCAAAAGAGAACAATATATAAATTTACAAAGCAACAAGGCCCACACTATTAATTGTTCATAATAGATATATGTACCAGGTGAATGATGCAGCTGTGGGCCTTTTTATTCTTTTCTTGCAATTAATTTGCATGAAATCTTGCTGAATGATAATCTGGAATTTGATACCGAATACTTTGAAAATCTATTTTAAAATAAAAAAGAATAATTTCTGCTAAATTATAATGCTTGATCTTGATGACAAAACATGATACAGATAAAACCAACCATTCATTACTTTCAGTACTTTGGTTTTTTAACTAGAACGAAACCCGGGATTTTATTCGTTTCGTATCGATGCCTGACACAGGTCAGGTAGGTAAGTTATAATGACTGGGTAACCACTGAGGTGAGGTACATGTCATATAGTTCATACTGGACCGGTAGGTTAGGTATAAAGAATGGGTAACTACTGAGGTGAGGTACATGTCATATAGGTCATACTGGACAGGTAGGATAGGTATAATGAATGGGTAACCACTGAGGTGAGGTACATGTAATATAGATCATCCTGGACCGGTAGGTTAGGTATAAATAATGGGTAACCACTGAGGTAAGGTACATGATATATAGGTCATACTGGACAGGAAGGATAGGTACAAATAATGGGTAACCACCGAGGTGAGGTACATGATATATAGGTCATACTGGACAGGAAGGTTAGGTACAAATAATGGGTAACCACCGAGGTGAGGTACATGTCATATAGGTAATACTGGACATGTAGGTTAGGTATAAAGACTGGGTAACCACCGAGGTGAGGTAAATGTTATATAGGTCATACTGGACAGGTAGGTTAGGGATAAAGATTGGGTAACCACTGAGGGGAGGGACATGTCATATAGGTCATACTTGACATGTAGGTAAGTTATAAAGAATGGGTAACCACTGAGGCGAGGTACATGTAATATAGGTCATACTGGACAGGGATGTAAGGTATAAAGAATGGGTAACCACCGAGGTGAGGTACATGATATATAGGTCATACTGGACATGTAGGTTAGGTATAAAGACTGGGTAACCACCGAGGTGAGGTACATGTTATATAGGTCATACTGGACAGGTAGGTTAGGTATAAATAATGGGTAACCACCGAGGTGAGGTACATGTCATATAGGTCATACTGGACAGGTATATAAGGTATAAAGATTGGGTAACCACCGAGGCGAGGTACATGTCATATAGGTCATACTTGACATGTAGGTAAGTTATAAAGAATGGGTAACCACTGAGGTGAGGTACATGTAATATAGGTCATACTGGACAGGTAGATTAGGTATAAAGAATGAGTAAGCACTGAGGTGCGGTGCATGTAGTATAGGTCATACTGGACAAGTAAGTTTGGTATAAAGATTGGGTAACCACCGAGGTGAGGTACATGATATATAGGTCATACTGGACAGGAAGGTTAGGTACAAATAATGGGTAACCACCGAGGTGAGGTACATGTCATATAGGTCATACTTGACATGTAGGTAAGTTATAAAGAATGGGTAACCACTGAGGTGAGGTACATGTCATATAGGTCATACTTGACATGTAGGTAAGTTATAAAGAATGGGTAACCACTGAGGTGAGGTAATGTAATATAGGTCATACTGGACAGGTAGATTAGGTATAAAGAATGAGTAAGAACTGAGGTGCGGTGCATGTAGTATAGGTCATACTGGACAAGTAAGTTTGGTATAAAGATTGGGTAACCACCGAGGTGAGGTACATGATATATAGGTCATACTGGACATGTAGGTTAGGTATAAATAATGGGTAACCACCGAAGCGAGGAACATGATATATAGGTCATACTGGACAGGTATGTAAGGTATAAAGATTGGGTAACCACCGAGGCGAGGTACATGTCATATAGGTCATACTGGACAGGAAGGTTAGGTATAAATAATGGGTAACCACTGAGGTGAGGTACATGATATATAGGTCATACTGGACAGGAAGGGTAGGTATAAATAATGGGTAACCACCGAGGTGAGGTACATGATATATAGGTCATACTGGACAGGAAGGGTAGGTATAAATAATGGGTAACCACCGAGGTGAGGTACATGTCATATAGGTCATACTTGACATGTAGGTAAGTTATAAAGAATGGGTAACCACTGAGGTGAGGTACATGTCATATAGGTCATACTGGACATGTAGGTTAGGTATAAATAATGGGTAACCACCGAGGAGAGGTACATGATATATAGGTCATACTGGACAGGTAGGTTAGGTATAACGATTGGGTAACCACTGAGGTGAGGTACATGGCATATAGGTCATACTTGACATGTAGGTAAGTTATAAAGAATGGGTAACCACTGAGGTGAGGTACATGTAATATAGATCATACTGGACCGGTAGGTTAGGTATAAATAATGGGTAACCACTGAGGTGAGGTACATGATATATAGGTCATACTGGACAGGTATGTAAGGTATAAAGAATGGGTAACCACCGAGGGGAGGTACATGTAATATAGTTTCATACTGGACAGGTATGTAAGGTATAAAGATTGGGTAACCACCGAGGCGAGTTACATGTCATATAGGTCATACTTGACATGTAGGTATGTTATAAAGAATGGGTAACCACTGAGGTGAGGTACATGTCATATAGCTCATACTTGACATGTAGGTAAGTTATAAAGAATGGGTAACCACTGAGGTGAGGTAATGTAATATAGGTCATACTGGACAGGTAGATTAGGTATAAAGAATGAGTAAGAACTGAGGTGCGGTGCATGTAGTATAGGTCATACTG